GGCTGAGACTGACATGGAGGCAGATCAGGGGCAGAGCCAGCATGATTCAATCACAGCCCTGGCCAATCAGCATCTCCTCATAGAGATTAATTGAATCAATGAATCTCTATGAGGAAAGTTCAGTGTCTGCATGCAGAGGGAGGAGATACTGAATGTTTGGATGCATTTTAGGCAGCCATGACCCAGGAAGGATCTCTAACAGCCATCTAAGGAGTGGCCAGTGAAGTTATCACTAGGCTGTAATGTACACACTGCATTTTCTCTGAAAAGACAGTGTTTACAGCAAAAAGCCTGAAGGGAATGATTCTATTCACCAGAACAAATTCAATAAGCTGTAGTTGTTCTGGTGACTATAGTGTCCCTTTAAAACATTTTGGGTTCTCTCCTCCCACCCCAGAATAGTATATAACCAAAATACAGTTTTTTTGATTGGAGTAACCTTTTTAAATCCTGCAAAATTAGGCAAATTTAACTTAAAAACCAAAACATTTGATATAGTTAATAGTGATGTCCCGAACTGTTCGCCAAACGGTTCGCCGCGGACTCATCATTGTGTAAACTTTGACCCTGTACCTCACAGTCAGCAGACACATTCCAGCCAATCAGCAGCAGACCCTCCCACCTCCTGGACAGCATCCATTGTGACGCTGCATTCTTAGTGAGCTGTCCAGGAGGTGGGAGGGTCTGCTGCTGATTGGCTGGAATGTGTCTGCTGACTGTGAGTTACAGGGTTAAAATTTACTCAATGATGAGTCCGCGGCGAACCGTTCGGGACATCACTAATAGTTAACCTTTAAGGCCCACTTTGCCAAAAAATATGACAAATGGTGTTTGAAATAGCAATGTCAGCTGAACATATAATTGTAGAAATCAGTATAAGCTAATGCTGAAAACAAATGACTATAATTTACTTAGATGAAAATAATAGGAAGTATTAAGCCGACTGGATTTTAGATGCCATCTTCCAAATATCAAAGCCTGAACTACTGTTATTTTTACTATAAACTGTCCAATTTATTTGGATATTATTAAACAGTACAGCTACCTCAGAGAGAGAACGATAGGTGTGACAGTTAGAACCCTGGCACATGCACAAATGCCTCTCTCTCTCTCTCTCTGAGACTATGCTTAACAGAACAATAAAATAAGAACAGTAAAGGTTTAATTTAATTATACACCTATAACAATAGGTAGAGTGTGAGTTGAGGAATTGCATCAGAATTTTCAAACCCTCACGGAAAGTTATTGTAACAAGCAAAGCAAAGCAAAATCTGAGAATTGCAATTTAGCTCCCAGTTTTCCATTACTCAGGAGATGATCCTCTGATGATGCTCTGTACACAATGTTGGTTGAAAGATTTGATTAGATTTTTTATAAAGAAAAAATATTGACTAGATGAAAAAAAAAAAAAAAGACCAAGAAAAGGTATAGATAGTTTTAAAAATGCCATCTGATGGTAGATAGACAATTTCTGATGACAGAAACTCTCTAACAATGCTAATTCTGAATGAGAAGCTCTTATAATATTAGTAATGCTTTATTTCCTGATGGATTCTCAAAATACACCAAGAGGTGGCACCATTGCTTTGAAAAAGCCGTATGGAACTGTATGCAGTTTAATGTGTTCCCCTCCCTCAGTATCAAATTCAGCAGGATATCACAAAAACTTTTGAACCCCACCAGTTACTACTGAAAAATTATACAGAAAATTTCAGGTTGCCACAACTAGCGCCGTGTATGAGAGAGTAATGAAATAAAAGAGCACTCCCACAGCGCATGTAGTGGTTATGGTGTCAGGAGTGCCCTTGTGTATTCCTAGTGAAAGTAGTCCAACCATTTGCTTAGGATTGACTTCTTACCTGGGGTCCCTTGGGTGTCAGATGCTAACTCTGCCACTGCTCTCTGCCTTAGCAATGCTTCCAGCTCGCCTTACAGAAAGAGGAGAAGACAAGTAGCTGCGAATTGTAAAACCCCAGGGAAGAAGTCAAACCAACAGAAACTGTTTCACTTTTTTCATTGTGAGTGTGCCAAGGCCCTTCTAGTACCATAACCACTACAGTGCATTGCAGTAGTTACTGTATTTGGAGTGTTCCTTTAAACTGAACATACAACCTTCATTGCAAAGACACCACCACAGTCCTAGGATTTTTAACCCATTAAATGCTAGAACATTTAACAAATAGGTTTACTGTTTGCGTATTTCTCTCTTATATGTGCGCATATGCAGTGGGAGTAGTATTTCCAGTAGAGCACTGCAATGCTTCAAAGTTAAAACTGCATTTAGAATGAATTTTCATATTTGATGATTATAGTTTGACAATAAATAAATACAGCAGTATCTATAATTTTTCTTTAATATGGTATTGACACAGCCACCTCAGCACACTCAACAGACGTGGTCCGCATTGATCTCTGCTCCCTCTGGCAGTCCCCACCTCCCTATAGTGCTACGTTCTTTGTTCCTCTCACTCCCCTTGGCCATTCCCACTCCCTCCCTAGTTCAGAGCACATGCATATTTGATTTGACCATGGAAAGGGAGGCTGTGACATTTGATGAGGCTTTGACCAGCGCTGGGGTCCACATAAATTTTTAGGATATTGTACAGGGTTGTAAGGGGGCACCTAGTAACTAATGCACAATAGAGCAATCTGTATTAAAATAATTTTTATTAAAAAGGGTTGCAGTTACCCTAAAAACATTTGCCTACTGACTGCTTGCACTGTCAGTGGACCAGTAGTAGTTAAAGCATACCTGTACTCTGTTGTTTTTTTTTCCCTTCTACTTATGCTCTTTTGAAAGACCATAAGATTTAGACTATACATTGGCAGTTTTGCTAGCAAATGTATAGTTTGGAAGAAAACCCTATTAAACAATAGCTCAATCAATTGCTGACGTTTTAGTTGATAAATATGAGCAGGAGAGACCACCCAGAAGCAGTCCTGCTCTCCACCCATAGCAACCACAATGCATGTGTTGTGGTTCCTATGGTAACTCCAACCATCGCTGCTAACACTAACTTAAAGGACCACTCTAGGCACCCAGACCACTTCAGCTTAATGAAGTGGTCTGGGTGCCAGGTCCTTCTAGGGTTAACCCATTTTTTTATAAACATAGCAGTTTCAGAGAAACTGCTATGTTTATTAATGGGTTAAGCCTTCCCCCTAATCCTCTAGTGGCTGTCTCATTGACAGCCACTAGAGGCGCTTGCGTGCTTCTCACTGTGATTTTCACAGTGAGAGCACGCAAGCGTCCATAGGAAAGCATTGTAAATGCTTTCCTATGCGATGGGCTGAATGCGCGCGCAGCTCTTGCCGCGCGTGCGCATTCAGCCCAGGAGGAGGAGAGGAGGCAGAGAGCTCCCCGCCCAGCGCTGGAAAAAGGTAAGTTTTTACCCCTTTCCCCCTTCCAGACGGGCGGGAGGGGGACACTCAGGGCACTATAGTGCCAGGAAAACGAGTATGTTTTCCTGGCACTATAGTGGTCCTTTAAGAGTTTAGGAACGGAGTAACTAGCATCAATATGTTCAGATGCCAGCATGCAGGTAATGATGCGTCACTGAGTTGGGTTGCCATGCTTAGGGAAGTGTTTTCTAGCAGGACCAATCAAAGAAGACTGTGGAAGGAGAGGAGGATGAACCGGAGGTGGGTGTTACATGAAGAGTAACAAACACAAAGATGAGGAAATGGAGATGGAACAAGGTATGGTGAGTAAATCTAAGTATTTTACATTGTAAAAATCATGTGTAATATATATATATATATACACATATACACACACACAGTGGTACCTCCGTTTACGAATTTAATGCGTTCTCCATTTTGTATTGTGAAAAATTTGAAAACCGAAACGAGGTTTCCCATAGGAATGCATTGAAAACCAATTAATCCGTTCTGGAGGTCAAAATAAAGTCAAACTGAGCTGGCATGGAAACCAACCCACAATGCAGAACACACAATAAAAGGCATGCAAACGACCAAGTGAAGCTCCATACCTTTCCACCGCTTGAGAAATGCACAAAAAAAATTCAATAAAAGTCCCAAAACAGCTGCAAATTTTTTACAGAATGGCTCCAAAACTCTATGCAAAAGCTACTACAACACCTCCACACTTGAACCCATGTGCTACCCACAGACTCCAGCACCTCTGAGGTGTTTGTAAACCGAGGTAACACTGTGTATGTATGACTATTCAATGTAATTAGGGACCAATTTAGGCAGTCTAAAAGTACAGTACAGGTTCACTCTAAAATTATTGTTTGCTCTCCAAACGCAAGTAAATGAGAATTTGTGAATGTGCAACCAGATGAATTGAGCAGGGCCCTTAACCCCTCTGTTCCAGTTTGTCAATCATGTCTGGTTTCAACTACATATCTGTCAGTCCACCCATCCTACAGCGCTGTTGGCACTTTATAAATAATAATACATTATACATGTTACTATACCAGGGTTAGGAAATCTTTGGCACTTAAGATTTTGAGGTATCTCCCATAATGCTTTTTTTCTTTTTTGGACATTCTTTATTTTTGCGGTGCTATCGTTGCACGAAAAACAAATATCATAATGAACATAAGCTGGTTACAGTAAATCATTCATATACATCAAAGGTTCTGCACCATTTTTTTTTTATTAAAGAGAGAGAGAAAGGCACATACTGAGTTTAATGTGCCTCAACTTTAAATGCAAATAACAAAGAGTATAATAATTCGCTAGAAATACATGTCATGTTAAATCTGCTGGTAAGAGATCTGCTGGTGACATGCGTGGTTGTGAGGTGGGGTGGGGGAGAAGGCAGCTGGTTATTACAGGCTTAATGTGAGCTCACCGAGCCAGGTAAATGACAGAAACAAACAAAAATAAATCAAACAGGAAAATGTTTGAGCAGCGTGCCCTGGTATGGGGCACACTGTCAGTACGCCGGTATGTTGCTAAAGGTGGTAGGTCTCTTGACGTCTAACCTCTCCTTTTTTCTATTTGAGAAGTTCACACTTCCAAGTCTTAATCGAGAACCAGCGACCAAAGGCATTCCACCTCAAAGAAAAGCAGCTTGGCCCGAGGTTTAGATCCTTTGCATTGTTCTAGTTCAAGGGCAGGCAACCTTCGGCACGCCAGATGTTGTGGACTATTTCTCCCCTGTTTGCCAGCATCATGGCTATAAAAGCATTATGGGAGGTGACATCATGTTTTACTGTTGGATATGCACATGGAGAATACCACTGGGAAGATTCTTACGTAAAACTAAATAGACAAATACAATCCTATAAATTTTTGCCCGAGTATTCCTTTTTATAATAATATAAATATTGTTTGAATGCAACAGCTGGTCAATATTTTTTTATCATGGTCAACATATTAAATATGCTATAATACCTTTATATGCTCTAGAGTAGACTTTCTAGTTCTCTGGGTGAATGAGTGTTGACTAGAAATGTGTCTTCCAATATATTTGAATAACATTAAGACTAGTGTAATAATCAAGAAGAAGAAAATAAAAAAGGTATAGAGGCTCAATAAAATGAAATGCAATTATTTGATGAAAAACTTTTCTCAGTAGATAAAATTATACAAACTATAAAAAGAAAAACAAAACTACATAAACCACCCAAAAATGGAAGAATAAAGCTTTAAGTCCCATCATATGGGTCCCACATGATGCCCCCTCATACTATGTAATGAATGATTCGCAAGCAAGCAATGGTCAAAAGTATTTGTTTTTCCTAAACATTTGCTCTGCCTCTGCTTGGTGTTTGGAGGACTAGAGCAGCCAGCTCTCACTTACACACCACGTGTACTGAATATCAAATTAAGTTTGACACATGTATCAAGCTGTGGTTTCTGCTTCACTGAACAATAGACATTGTGCACAAAAAGGCTGTTCAGTTTTAGACTGGAATTCAGAACAGGTAATGTTACACATTAACAAAGAAAGATAATGTCTTGTATACATATGCTGATTCTTGGTGAATGCACACAGTAATCTGGTTAATTACCTATATCGATTTCCTGAACTATGTAAAGAATTGTTTTTTTTCTTCTTCTGGTAGAATATACAACTTTCCGAAATGTTACAGTTCAGCCTTTAATTCATAGAGACGGTTAACCTGTAGAAGCTATGAACCATCTAGATTTGGGACAGCTAGTTGTAAGTTGTAAGCTAGTAGAAGATGACAGGATCTGTAGCGCAACAAGAGAAACATTTTATAAAATGGACCAGAATGTACCTTTGGAATTAATATTAAACTAAACCATTTCATTTCGGACTACCTGCAATTATAGCTTCTACAGAATTTGTATTATTACTGTATATCTACATAAAGTAAATTTAAAAGAATTAAAAAATTGTGATGAATAACAATACAAACACGTCACAGGCACAGAATTAATAAAACAATCGTTTTAATAAGCAAAAAAATAACTACGCATATTGGAACAGTATCTACATCATAGGCAATATATTACATATTACAAAGCTGATTTCCTTGGACCGAGATCTGTATATTTCTCCCTTCTTCCATCAGCTTGTTACACATTCTAAGGTCAATATAGGAAAGATCCATAATAATACTTTACAGAGACATAGGACTACATTTACAAACAATGCAATGTCAGACACACTGTTTTCCCAATATGTCCCCATATGAGCATTAAGGAATTTTATCAGATTTACTTCAAAGTATATTTGTTTAACATGTGGTCAACCTTGGCATTTGGGTCCTCACCTTCACTTCAGAAGAAGACATGGTCGGTTAGGGACAGCTAAATTGTTCAATGTTTGTGAATTACTTTTACCGTGATTCTCAGCTGTTATAGAGATTAGCTAGGTATTAAAGGAAATGCAGTTTACAAACAATTTAGGATGAAAAAATAAAAAATGACTAGTCTGATTATTGATAGTACAAAATTAGATTAAATTGTATACATTTGAAGCCACATGTTGGAACATTCCAGACAAAATGGTCATTAAAAAACAGTGACTGGTGATAAAAAACAGACTGAAAACTACTGGATGGCTCTACAGACTCTTAACACCATAACTACTACACTGAGCTGAAGTTGTTATGGTGCTCAGGGTGCCCTTTTAAATGAGGTACCTACCTTGCTGTGTTAGTACACATGAGTATATACTAAGCCGCAACGTGTGGTATAAATCTGAACACTTATCATGGCTTTATTCGGAAACAATGTTATTGCTCTATTTTTGTGTTTTATTTTTCACATGTGGTTAGAAATCATAAAATGCAGTAAGTCTATAACATGTTTCTTTACAGCAAGCATGTCAAACTCAAAGTCTGGCACGGGCCACATAAACTAGGTTTAAGTTTATGGAGGCCGCAAAAAAAAAAAAATACATCTTACATTTTCATAGAAATGTAGGTTTATTTTAAAAAGTACAGTATAAAAAAAAAAAAACCAGCATCCCCCTCTACTAAATCCCAGATCCCCTCCGCCTCTAGTAAACCACAGCACCCACCTCTACCACCCTGTGCCAAATCTGATCGTGCCTCCATGGAACACCACTGTCCAGTTTCAGCCAATGCAACACTAACCAACACACAGACACACACATTCACTCACATACTCACTGACAGACAGACCTACACACTGACAGACACACACACATCAGTTAATTTATTGTTCCCTACCTTTGGGAGCTGGTGTGGGGATCTTCTGTCTGAAGATCTCCTTCCTGCTCCTTGCACGGTTTAGTGATATCGGGCGCCGGAATGTGACGTCATATTCTGGCGCCCGGCTTCACTACAGATGGCACACGCGAGGGAGCAGTGAGGAGCAGGAACACTGAGCTCCCTCGCTGGCTCTCCTCCCCGGCCTGGTAAGTGTCAGCAGAGTAGGGACCTGCAATGTGGGGAAAGCAGGTGCCTACTCTGCTTTCCCACCAGCATGTACTCGCGGCTCACTGGGCCGCAAAGATGGTCCTTGTGGGCCACATGCAGCCAGTAGGCCGCGAGTTTGACATGCTTGCTTTACAGCTTTCTCCACACGTTTCACATCAGCAAGCTCTTAAAATAGTATGAACCATCTAGCAGAGTCATTAGAGACCCATTCGGCTTTGGCACAAGTTTGTGGGAATGGCAGTCCAACATAGCTGGGCGATGGCTGTTACCCCACTGTTGACATAATCACTTTCCTGCCAAACAGGCCAGCAATGCCTTCAAGCAGGCCATGGAATAAATTATAAAACACTTAATCAATGTCTGCATGAATTTATTAGTGACTACATTATTTATACGCTGATAACAAATTTGCTGAAGAATTATGACTCATTAGCAGCCAACAAAACAGCTCTTAATTATCACCATTTCATTGGATTAAGCCCATACTTGCAAACTATTAAATTTGTGAATTTCTCAACCCATCTCACAAACAGAATCTGCAAGCTCTGAGGTGGAAAAGCATTGATAATCACTCAAAATGCAAACTCTACAACACTGCTTTTTAAATTCCCAATGTCATTATAATACTGCTTCCATATAATCATGTTAAAAACCTAATTCACAGTCAGAACAATATAATTTTGGAGATTTAAAAACATGATATTGCCCACAATTACAATCTTTGCAATTCTACGTTTGTGGCCATTTATATTCTAAATTTTTCACTGTTTCACTGTGTTTTTTTAGGTGAGAAAAAGGTCTCCTGGGAGATTGAATTATATGTACCTACTGACTTTTTACCAAACAAGGACATGCAAGAAAAACGTATTGAATTAACTATAAATTTAAGATTAAAGACTCTCTTGATGCCCAGGATTTTTCTTTAAATGACAACTTATTTTGAATACTTAACGTAAGCCTGGGCCAGTTTAATTGCAAACGTTGTAGAGAAATACCTCAATTGCAAAGTGTTAATCATGCTAAAACAAATTCTACTTCAAGTGATACAGTGATATGGAAGCTATACATCCAACCTCTTTACGAAGCTATACCTACAATCTATACACTCTGAGCAGTTAAAAAGCATAGATCCTCTAGTAAAATACAACTAGTCTATCCTATTTTTAGAAGCACCCTGACAAATCCAAATATATCAATCATTATGAAAAAAAGAATTTCAGAACATATCTAGATAAAACCACGTTTTAACAATAAAAAAAAAAAAAAAACAACTACAGAAGTATACAGGGATAGTAACAATACAAAAGGATCAAACCTGCATTTACATTTAATATTTTTAAAAGGTTGATTCACGGAGGACAGTGCAATTATTGTTCAAACATAATATGACCTACAATGTCCCCTTTTAACACCTACACTACAAAATGTTTGTTTTTCTTTAAAAAAAAAAAATTAAATTAAAAATGTAACATTTCTTTGAAATGTGGGATGAATAGATAGTTAAAAAAAACAGGACGATTGCGTAAAAGATAACATCTTTACATAAATTGTGACAGATAATAAGTATCACTGAATGTAAGATATAACTTATCACAAATACAGGGCCGCCCCCCACCCCACTTGTAGTAAGGGTAATAAAACAAAACCCCCCAAAATTAGGGCCAAATTCACTGGGTATTTCTCAGAAACCTGGTTGTATTTTGGGGAAGCAGAAACCCAAAAAAGGAACCAGAATCTTATAGTATGTGGACAAAATACTTCCATTATTTTTATGTGTTGTAATATACAGTAAACATATTCTAATGCTGAGAAAGTGTTCTTGTTGGAATGAATAATAAAGGCTCTCCTCCAAATATGGTCACCCAACACTTTCAAAGTAAGATAGTGTAGAGTCACTATAGTACCACTTATTCAAAGCACTAAGGCATTATACCTGTGGCTAGGCTAAGTTTTCACAAATTCCTCTTCAACTTATATTAATAAATTTATCCAGAAACCACAGAGACTTTTTTATGCTTCATATTTTTTTTTTTTTAAATCTTTTCTTTAATAAGCATTTTTTTTTTGTGTGAAGACGTTTTGCAAGTGACTGGTAAATCAGGTATTGCAGTCCTTAGGCTAGATGAGCAGCAAACATCTAATTAATTTGCTTAATAATGAAAGAGGCCAAACAAAATTACTGGATGGTAAGCAAACATACAGTCAGTTCTTTGGCACAGAGGGGGGCACTCAAGTGCTACAATATCAATGTTAGGAGTGATTTTGCTTTCATCTTGTACCTGATTCAAAGATTAGAAGCAGAGTTGTTTTTGTGGAAAGAACATGACAAATTGTTCATTATATACATAGCATGGCACCAAC